GTTACCAATGTCACATTTACTTTTTGTATTTTCCATTTAATACAGTTGTAAATTTCATTAAAAAAAAAAAAATTTAAAGGTAGGAGCAGTATCTTCGCTAAGATTATTCTCAAACATTCTCCTGGTATTAGGTTCCACAGAGTACAAATCCAAGATGCAGTACAAAAAAATCAGCAAGGTTATTAAGCTTAAGACTTTTTAAGGCATTATAGTTATCCTCAAATGTGTCCCAAAAATTGGAAAGTTAGAAGAATTATCATGAATAGTAAAGTAATAGTATAGTAATCCGTAATAGTAACAGCAATAGTATAGCCAACAGAAAATGATTTAAACCGAATAGTTTTGTTGAGATGGTAGGCAGCAATGATTTTTTTATTACTATAACGCTTTAGTAATTTATCAAAGGCCTAATTGTATTTATCTGCATCATCGCTGCCCAGAAGTGGGTTTCATGGCGCAAGTTGCTCAACAATTATGAGGGGGCACATTTCGATAGGGTTATGAATTTTCAGAATGAAAAATTTCAAACCAGGGGATAAGCTAAGAAAAGAACACTGAAGGTGCAATAGTACATGGGCTATGATTTTTTAAATTCTACTTTAGCTTGCTCTGTTTTAAGAAGAGGAGAGCAATAAAATATCTTGAGAGGGGAGCAGAGGTTTTTGCACCATTGAACATGGGAGGAGGACGATGGGCATCCCTAATTTGTATTAAATTCAATAGAAGAAGTAGCCTGGGATGCAGGATGAATTAAAAGAGACTTGAGGTAAGAAAATTCGATCATATCATTGTAACTTTAATTATGAGTTAAGGCATCAAATAACGATTTAAAAGAAGGGAACTGTTCTTATTGTCCAGAAAATTTGTAATTTGGGCAATTTAAGATGTGCTACAGGTTCAAACATACTGTGCTGAGAAGTGGGAACTACGATGTGCTCAGTTTTAATTAATCTATCATGAACAACTTTTATTTCATAATAAAGTTCCTCCGCTGCTAAAGATGACTCTACATCAATCCTATGAGCTCATTTTCTACCGATTCATTTAGCTCCGAAATTTTGTTCAATACCGTTTCAAATTCCTCAAAATGGGATTTTAATTTCTGAAGCCCTAGCAATAAAAATTTTCTTTTTAGCAGGAAGACTCTTAATCAAATCGAATGTGGTTTGAATTCTAAGAAATAACCTGTTTTCTTTTAGCAATAATAGCCTTAAGTCTTTCATTACCCTTAGCCGGAGCAATACACAAAAAATGTTAAAAATAAAAATTTGAAATTAAATTTTAATGTTGAAGGCAATACCAGGTTGCTTTTTTTAAAATAAATGCTGTGCGGCAAAGCAGGCCAAAACAAGCAAGGAGTAACTTGTGCAAGTCACTATGTATTCTTTCCTGAAAATTCCTGGAATCTAACTATGATTTTTCTAAGGCATTATTCAACTCTCCAACACCCTGGCACCCTCAAATACGTAACGAAAGCAAATAAGATACAAGAAAAATGAATAAATAACCGAAATACGAATTTTAATCATGAAACATACGACTTTTACAGAAGCTCTCAAAACCTTCCAGGCAAAACATCGCTAATAATGAGAGAAAAAAAACTATAACCGTGTCCGGTTATTTAGGCAAATAACGACTTTTTGAAGCAAAAGGCAAATAAATTTTAATTTGCCAAAAAGCCACCAGCTCCTAGCCCCTAGTTTCTTCTCTTATTTTACCCCACTTCGATTAGGGATGCCTTGTGTACTGTGGATTCTCTTGTGGGCTTGAGATCAAAAGTGACTAATGAAATATTTCATTAAATTCATATTTGGGAGTCCCCAGGCGCTTCCACGTCTCCAGTTAGTATTTCGAGTTGAAGTGGCTCTATCCAGTGATGGACCCAAACATTAAGCCTGGAAACAGCCGAGTTTGAGCAAATAGTTTTCTACGCTTGTGTGTGACACATTTAGGGTCATAGCAATCTCTCCCACTGAGTCCTAAATTGCTCGTTTCAATTTCATGTGGGCAGACCAAACCGTTGAGCATCATTGATCTCAAAATTTCCTGAATAAAATTTGGCAAACCAATTCTGACAGGTGCGTTCATCAGGTCAAGGCATTATCCCTATAAACACTGCAAAGTTTTCTATGAGCTTCTGCAGCACGCTTACCTTTTTTTAAAATAATACAACAAAATATGCCGACAGTGCAATAGCAAACACAATACTAAGCTAAGAGTTAACAGATATAGTTGTTGAAATATTTCAAACAGGATAAACAATCCACCTTAGGGATTAATTTATCAGATAAGAAGTGTATCATAGTGACATAAAAATAAACACAAAAACCGAAAGGACTTATTTGCCAACCCAATAGATTGCGAGATAAAATAATCTGGTAGTATAGTTAAAATAATCTCTTATAGAAGATTCATTTTTAAAAATATTGCAAACTGATTAAGTCTGTTTAAATTGATAGACTCATTTCTAGAACAATTAATTACATTACAATTACATGAGAAAATGTTTTCTTCCAATCAATTTTACTTAAAGACTTTATTTAAGCAGTATCTCTGATTTGATAAGGTAACCTTCAAGCAGAGGCGGATTTACGGGGGGGCTTTCGGGCTGAAGCCCCCTCCCCCAAAATGGTAAAATGTATCCATGTTTTATGGTAAAAAATATTAAAAAATTATGTCTTCAAGTATTATTGCTCGCTTAATTACATTTAATAGGACTTCAAGAATCACTTAAACATCATTTCATATAGGTAGTTAGTATCTTTCTGTTTTCTAAAGTAATTATCGTTATATATATGAAAAAAAAAGCTTCCGGGCTGAAGCCCCCCCCCCCAAAATTAAATCCTGGATCCGCTAGTGCCTTCAAGGATACCATTTGCAACATATTCCAGTTAAAATAAAAACAATATTGTAACATCAAGACTCACTCTTTTTTTCAATAATGATTTTTGACTGATAAATATATTTTTATTATCAGAGTGGTGAAGAAGAGTAAGATACCCTTGGACTTACAAATATATATATATATATATATATAAAAAGAGTTATGTTATTGTACTAACATTAATCTTTATATATATACATATATATATATAAGTACAGTGGTATCTTACGCTGCACCACTCTTCCTGATCTTGTAACTTGTTGAGAGAAGTACTTTGGTTCAGGGAATGCTATCTCTGTGATGTTCTCCTTCTGCTGCTTCTTCACATTCTTTATCTATCTGACAATCCTCTTCTGTATCTTGATTATAGTTAATGAGAGTTTTCAAAAATTTTCTGTTTCTAAGAAGGTTTCCAGTTTTGGTTTGAATATAGTATGATTTGGTCCTTTTCGTATTCTTATCACATGACCCTTTTTCCATATTTCTTTCCTTTGAACTCTTACATTTTCTTCGTCTTACAGAGGTTCCAAAATTTTAACCCCTCGATCATAATAATACTTTTGTTTCTCTTGATTTTGTTTTAGTGTATTTTTTACTTGACCTGGATCAATTGTTCTGGGATTAAGCAGTTCTGTAGGCAATGGAATATTATCCATCAGTCTTCTTTCAAACAGCAGTTGAGCAGAGGATCTTAATCCTGTTGTTAAGGCAACTTTTCCAATTATAGCAAAATAACTCTCATGAGTTTCAATAAGACGACATTCAAAATTTTAAGGCAACATTCTAATTTTAAAGCAGTGGACTGTATCTTAAGGGATTGGTAGGTTAATGATTGTGTAAAAAATAGCTTACCGTCTGTATGCCATCTTACTTTATTTTTACCGGGAGGGCCCTCCGCCGTGACTGTTGGTCCTTGCTGGGTGAATGCCGCCGCTCCAAGGCTTAAGTGTTATCTTTTAGATCTACCCCCACCACTCACTGTAACCCGGGAAACTAAATGAAAACCATTCTTTGGCACAACCAGGTGTGTTTCTGAATTGAAGTAAAGCCATAAATATGTCCTTATTGTCTTCTACTGCTTTAATCATAATTCTTTTTACAGTCTGTACTGATCTTTCTGCTAATCCATTAGCTTAAGTATATGTTGGACTGCTTATTAAATGTTGAAAATTCCAGTTGACTGAGAATTTTTTGAATTGCAATGAAGAAAATTGAGGACCTCCATCACTCGCACTATTTCTGGAATCCCGCATTTTGAAAATATTATTTTTAAATGTGCTATGATAGCCTCACTATCCAATCTATGTAGTTTTTCTACCTCTACATATTTCGAATAATTATCTACCACTAGCAAATAAGTTGCAGATTTTAATGAAAACAGGTCACAGGCTAGTTTTTGCCAAGGTATGTTTGGTATTTCACTCATAATCATTGGCACTCGTGGGTTAGAAGCACATATTTCACAGGATAAATCTTCAATTGCTTTATTTTAACCTAGCCAAAAGTAATTTTCTCTAGCACGCATTTTAGTGCATAAAATCGCTTGATGGTTTTAGTGCAGAAGATTTAGAATTTTTTATTCTCAACACTTCAGAAACTATAATTTTGTTTAATTATAAGTTATGTCTTCAGCTACCATTAATTCTTCACTGTATCCTTTAAATGGTTTTAATGTGTTGGGAATGTATTTATATTCCTTTGACCACCCATGATTTAGGTATATTTTTAATTTTTTTAAATCTTTATCATTTTTTAGTTTCTTGGGGAATATCTGCAAGATTAACATTTTCTTCTGTAATATTTACCTTTAAAATGAACACCTGAGCTACAATATCTTTGTCAATAACTTCATCAAACATAATATCATCATTGTCTGATGAATTCATCCAAGAGAGAGAGCATTTGCAATGTAAATAATTTTCCCCATTACAACTATAAATAGGCTAAGGGTAATTTTCTTTTTTTTTAATTGTTTACTTATTATTATTTAAATTACTGTAAATATGCTAGAATTTTTATTGTTAGTTTATATTAGGTTAACCTACTATTAATTAAAAATATTTTATGTTTTAACTAGAATAATAGTTTAAGTTTTTGTCAGAAATCAGTCCTTTTCCCTCACTTACTTTTGCTCTTTGTTCTTCTTTCCAGGTTTTGTTTTTTCTTTTTATGTATATGTTTATATATTTTTTTCCTTCCCACTACAATTATAATTATTCTTGAGAAGTGTCTATCTTTATTATTTACAGATTATTTTTTAAATTACTGTATTTTTTTTTTGTAGTTTTTTAGTAATTTTTCTAAATTACTTCTGTCACCTATTTACTCTTGAAACCCGTAGGCTCTTAGTCAATTCCTTAATATTTCCCCACTTTGACTATTGCTGTATGGTATATGGGGACGTCTCTGGGAATCTTGAGGCGAAACTAAAACGTTAGATAAATTGCTTTATACAATTCATCTTTGGGATCCCAAGGGATGCCTCTATTTCCCGTTTTTATGCAGAGTTGAAGTGGCCTTATCCTTCCTACCGTCGTAAGTATTTCCTAGCATCCTTCCTCTTTCAAGTCATCCCATCCCACCGTCCTTCATACATTTCCGAGCTCCTTCAATTCAAATCCTCATTTTGTTCCAGGTCTTCAGATTTATAGACAAGGACCGACAGATAAAGATCTGATCATTATCCGATCCTCATCCCTTCCTACATCTGTCAATCCAATACCCTTCCTACATTTAAATTCCGCCTGTTCAATCATTTTTTATCCATCTAGTTCCCATAAAATTGTAAATAGATACTACTGTAAATATGTATATAAATTATTAGATCGTTCTTAATTTTTTTTCTGTTTTTTTTTTCAATTTTTAACTTTTTATTATTAACTGATTAAAATTATAAAGTAACTTATAAGTTGTCAGCCTTTGTTTCATTCTGTTTAAAGACTTTCTCTCAATGATTGACTCTATAATGACTTTGACACTAATTATATTGGCCATTGCTCCTGTATCAAGTTTAAAATTATGTTTTAACCTACTTTCCAGCAGTAATGTTTCCTGTCATTCTTGTTTGTTTAATGCAATGTTTATATTATCAATAAAATATTGCTTTATATTACTTTCATGATGATTTTCTATATCAGTAAGCTCTAGACTCCTTATTTTTTTTAATCTGGAACATGTTCTGATTTTTTTCTTTTTTTTAAAGTTGATTGTATGATCAATTTGATTTGGTGTAAACATTTCTAAACTTCTTACGGATCATTTATTGCAACAGTCATTGTATGAAATATTCAAGGAACACCAATCAACTATTAAGAATGTGTGGCTATATGTACATTGACAACTCAATCAATTTAATTATGAAAGTGAGATAGGTACCAATAGAATTTCATATAATTAAAACACAAAAAAGGAAAAGGTATTAAAATAAAGAGAATTCATAGAAATAAATTAAAATTTAAAAATGGAAAACAAATAAATGTTCCAAAGATATTTAATCCTGAATGGTTAATCAGTCTTTTAATACAAATAATACAAAATTGGAATTTAAATATTTATATACAGGTATTCTATGGCATAATTACCACTAACATAAATTTTTAAAATAACAGAAGAGACAAATTAAAATATGAAATTAATTGATCACCTCCTTTTCTGGGGAGTAACGAGGTGAGTTTTTGCGTATTGAAAACTTTCACATATATAATACAAATAAGTCTAAATATGAGGAACAGGAATTATACAGTTTTTCAACTAGTTCATGTGACTAAAAAATAAAACAAAATTAAATAATTAAATATTTTACAACAAATAATAATATATAATCATTTGTTGGATAATGGTAACGTATAAAAACTTAATAAACCCTTTCATAAAACTGAACCAAATGAGATATAGCAATGTACGATAATTCAATAACAAATAGTAAAAAAATAATAACACAGTAAAGTAATATTTCACAACTAAGATATAATAATTTAGGGCAGAAAACACTCCACAAAAATAAATGGTGCCTTTGAAGAACAATGTAAGTTGTGTAGAAAATAGCATAGGAGCAAGAAACAAATGGAATAAACCAATAATATTCTAGTTCTTCATTGTAAAAGCTGAAAAATTAAGATGAATATCAATAAGAGTTAAGAATGTTAGATTATATTTAATATAATTTTAAATTTCATAATTGAAATAAGTTAACATTACATGATAATTACACCACTATATATGTATAGTAACATGAGAATATTTTAAACAACAAAATTGAAAAGTTTCTTCAATATATAGATAGTATACATGGCGTAATACTTTATACTATGGCAAAATAGGATTTTTTCTAATATCTTAAAGCCAAAAAAAAAAGTATTTCATACAGTAAAATATAGAAATAATTTAAAACTTGAATTAATACTTATGTTTATGTAGTGGCGCATGTACGTAAATAACAGGTAATAATAAATTTTGCATGTGTTTTAAATAAAATAAATAAAGTGTTACTAACAGTGGTGGATGAAGATTCTCTTTATAAAAGATCCAATATTGTTCTTTTCTTCTTTTGGCTTCATAACTATGAATAATAAATAATATAATTATAAAACTTGAAAAATTAAGATTTAAATTTACAATTAAAACAATTAAAAACATAAGATTTTATTTATGTTTTATAAGTTATCGCTTAGTGGTTAAAACTTATTAATGATCACAACACATCTTATAATGTAAAAAAGCTTACATCTTTAAAATAGTTTTGTTGCTGTAGGTTATAACAAGTTTATCTACAATTGAAAATTAGAATAACAAGGTCATGAAATATAAGTTGTATTTCATTCTATGTTGTTTTTCTGGTGCATTGGGGGATGAGCATGAGCTTATTTAATTGACATCATGATATTTCATAATATTGTCACTACCATATTTAAGTAATGAATATTAAAATAGTTACTTTTCAGTTCATAAAAAAATAAAGTATTTTCTGTCCTACTTCACCTCACCTACAGCGATTATTTTTTAATCTTTGGGAGTTTTAACTTCACTGAGTCCTAAATGTTCATAATTTTTTATATTGTACAAACAATTCTGGCAAATTAATGAAACAATTTAAAAACCAAAACATGAATTTCTACATTCAATATTTCAACATGGTGGTGGCTATATGTTGATATCAAAGTAAAAGGAAACTAATTCAGAGGTTAAAAAATAGGCCCAAGAAAACGTTTCCTTTTTACCCTTTCTCAAGCAATATGTAAAGCTTAAATAATATTGTGTAATGATTTTTTATTTTTAAAAATATATCAAAGCAGTGGTTTAACAGAGGCCGGTTCTTATGAGCTTAGGAACCTGAGCTGTGTTAAATAAGTGCATTAGCTTGGAAAGTTGGAGAAATAATTTAAATGATATATTTTAATTTCTATAAGTGGACTTAAATATATTATAAGGAACAATTTGAAATGAAAAGAAAATAGAAGTAAACAAGATTATTTCTCCTGCCAAGTATAGAGATTGAAGTGGCTGTGGAAGGTAATAAAAGGCGATGTTTTAGTGGCTCAAAGCCTCTTTTACCATCAAGTTCCAAACGCTTAAAAATGAAGAACACTTAGCACGCACACCATTCAAGTGAATGATCGATTTTAACTTTCAACTTCAAAAAATTTTTAATAATGAACTTTTAACAGAATCTCTATAATAATCATAATTTTGTTTAAAAACCTTCTGATCAAGTTAACTTCGAAACAAATCTAGAAGAGTGTAAGAATTATAATTTTTATGCGTATAACTTAATTTAAATAAAAAGATGCTACCAGGTCAAATTTGATAATTCATTATCCTACCTTCAGTTGGTTGAATAAAAAAGAAAATTATTTTAGAAGATCAGTTATAAAAGTTTTAACTGATTTATTTAGATTAAAATCGAAAAAATCTCTGAAACACTAATTGATGATGAAATACATAACAAATAATTGATGTTTTAAGAATTTTGTGGGAATGTTGAGATTTGGTATTTAAAGAATGGACAGAGGGATGTGGAATGAGCAATATATCAAACATATTCAATAATAATTTCTTATGTTTCCAAATAAAAATAAAATATGCATTAGACCCTTCTTATCAATATCGATTCTATTCATATAATTTATCTATAACAATATCTAAACAAATTTATAAATAAATGACATATACCTTTTAAATAAATATATGTTCCTCAGAAGCAAAATATTGGATAATATGATTGCAGAAAAAGTATTCAAAAAGACAAAGAGACCAGATATAACTAAACTGAATTCTTCTAATCCAACAAATCCTGCAGTAATATCAATCGAAGCCAAACCATTAGAATTTCCCTGAAAAGTTCATGCTTTAAACTATCTATAGACTAAAGAGAAGATTAAATACAGTCAAGTACGATTGTGAAACTCCACTCCAAAATTGATTTTGACCATTTTATGAAAAAATTGATTTTGCACTATAATTATTATTAATCATTTTTGTCCAGGTACATTAGGTCTGAAATGCTTTGATAATATTGCTGTTACTGAGCTATAGAGCATTGAAGTATGTTATTCTCTGCAAAATGTATTTTGTATAATTTCTTGTCCCCACAATGAATTTTTTTAGAAAATGGAAAAAATATATTTTGATCTGAAACTCCTCAATCGTTATTAATAAATAATACTAATTATAATTTTATCATAAGATCATAAAAACTTATTTATATTTTAAACTAAAAAACTTATAGGAAAAAGAGCACTAAGTAGAATTAGCATCATATAGCATCTATAGCAGTGTTGTTTGTTATATGCTATCTATACTTCATAAGTACTTTTTTAGCTGTTGATATGTTATCTCCTTTCTGCATTTTAATCCTAATGATACAATTTAATGCTATATGAGACACTTAAGGATTTGTTTTGGAATCTTTCTAAAGATAATTAGAATATTTAAAAAGATTGTCGGAAAAATGCTAATTAGCTTATGTAGCCTATGTAGTTACCCACAAAGATAACTTCTTTCTCTTGCTCTTGTGCCATTCCTATCTTCAGCCATTTGATGGATCTGGCACGAAGTTTTTCCTCTTATTTTTGCCAATCCTTCCAGGTGCTCCCTATATGTCATCATGAGCCATCCCACAAGTTTTTTTGTTGGGTCTCCCCTTCAGTGTCTTTTAGGCTACATAGGGTTTTTCTCGGGCCGGCAGAGAGGGTGAGGAATTATGCCGAGTTGAAAGTACCACCAGGCATCGGGATTTGAGCTCATAATTATTTGTTTATCTCAAAACTTCGGTTATCAGGTTGCTGGGTAACACACGGTGCTGCGCACACTTATTAGCCCCTAGTTCCGGGGTCGGCCTCGTGTTTTTTTTGGGTTTTGTGGCTGTATATTTTGAGGATCTCTTCCGTGGAACGTGGTAAGTTGAGATGAGTGCCATCAACCTAAGACTATGCCATTTCTTCTTGGGTCCACTAATTCATATGTGTTGTTTGCCAACCTTCTTTTTATGACATAGGGACCGTCCCGTCATGGTAAAAACTTGCTTGTTACTTCTATGTTTGAATTACTCAATTGGTGAGTTTTACCTATATATATTGTTATATTTATGGAATGTAATCAGTTGCTACTCATCTTTTTCGGTTGGGGTAGGTGTTCTGCCTGTTTTGAAATTTTATTGTTTTTTTTCTTTCTATTTCGAGAGTCTTACCTAAGTTTTGTAGAAAAGGAGTAAATTCAGGAACAAATGTGCCTTTTATTCGGACCATTCGCAGGTCATTTCCTATTTCAATTGTCGACCGTAACTCACATCCGAAAGTTAAGTGTGTGAGTGTAAAACCAGTACTTTCACATTTGGTAGAGTTCATGGCATATCTGATTGCTAGGAGTTTAGAATTCCATGTGTTATGACAGTTTTTCACTTGCATTGCTAGCTGTGTTTTTAATTCTCCATTCCGTTGTTCGACAGGATTGGCTTCTTGATGGCAAAGCTGCATGAATTTCTGCACAAAATAGAACAAGCTTTTTTCATCAGCCTACTGATAAATTTTGTTCTGTTATCTGTAATTTCACGTGGCAGGCAGGCCATATCTCAAAAATATCTCGTTGATGAGAGTTTTCACCCATTCAGCTGATGTAGCATCTTTTAACGAGAACAATTCAATCCAATGTAAAGCCATATCTTCTGTTATAAGGATCCACTTTATTCCAACATTTGTTGTCAATAAAGGTCTAAAAGGGTCGACTGCCAGCGTTTCGAAACGCTCCGCAGATGGTCTAGTGTGAATGAGATCTTGAAGCTTTTGATTAGTAGGCTTGAAGCGTTGACACTCTATACAATTCTTTATGTATTCCGTGACAAATCTTCTCATCCCAGGCCAGTAGAACTTGCTACTTATTTTTGAAAATGTTTTTCCTAAGCCGTAGTTCCCTGCCGTAGGTGAGTTGTAATATTCTATCATAATATTTTTCTTATAGCTTTCTTGAATTACAGGTTGAGTTTCATCAATTTCGCTTGGTGGGTTGTATTAATAAAGAATACCATTGGACATAAAGTATCCTTTGTGATAGATGATGCTGTTTTGAATTTTCTTATAATCTTCGCTAATTCAGGATCATCTACTATCTCTTTTCTTATCAAGGCAGATGATTTTCGAGATAATGTTGCTGTAATAGTTTGAGCCTGCTGTATATTTGGGTCTTGCTCATCTACTATAGCATGGATAGATGGCCGAGATAATGTATCGGCTATGACATAAGCTTTAATGGGAGTGTATATAATTTCAAGATAAAGGTCGTGCAAGTGAAGAGCCCACCTTGCAAATTTTCCTAAAGGAGATCTTAAGCTCATAAGCCATTATTGGGGTTGGATCTGATCCAATTGATACTTTTGATCCTTCAATGTAACCTCTGAATTTTTCAGTAGCCCAGACAACTGTTAGAGCTTCGCGTTAAGTAACATTATAGTTCTTTTCATCAGCAGTGAGAAAGTGGCTAGCATATTCAATTGGGTATTCTCCACCATCATGTGATTGGAGAAGTACAACACCGAGTGCGTAATCGCTGGAATCTGACTTAAGATAAATGGTTTATCTTTGTCTGTTTGTTTAAGAATGGGCACAGATGACAATAGAATTTTGAGTTGGTTGAAAGAGTTTTGTTGTTTTATTTTCCATTGCCAAGTAGCTGCTTTGTTTGTTAATTTTGACAGTGGTTCGGCTATTGCTGCAAAGTTCCTTATAAATTTCCTAAACCATGAACAAGTCTGGATGACTGATTGAAGTTGTTTGAGGCTTGTCGGAAGAGGAAGGTCAGAAATAGTGACTATTTTAGACAGATCGGCCTTAATACCCGCTAGAGTGATCAAGTGACCAAGATATTTAACCGATTCTCTACAAAAAAAGCTTTTTTCATGATTAACTTCAAGTTTATAGATTCCAAGGTATTGAAAGACTTTTTCCAAGTCATTTACAAGTTCATTTAAAGACTTTGATATTACTATTAGGTCATCTATATATTCAAACATGTTAACTTCTGGTAAACAGGATCGAAATTGATCGATAAGTCTTTGAAATGTAGTGCCAGAGTTTCTAAGGCCAAAAGGCATTCAAAGAAACCTAAATGTTTCTTGAGGAAAGATGAATGCAGTCTTGTCTTTATCGAGTTCTCTTATTTTTATTTGCCAGTACCCGGATCAGAGGTCTAAGGTTGACATGTATTTTGATTCCTTTGCTGAATACAGGATGTCATTAGTGAGAGGCATAGGGTATCTTTTTTCTTTTCAGACTTTTTGGAATAGTGTCTGCGGAGTAAACATGGTCCATCATATATATTTGTTTTCCAGCCTCATGAAGAGTAGATGATCAATAAAAAGTACATAATAATAGTATAAATATCTCATGATATGAAGACAAGGAGGTTAAGATGAGGAGGAGATGTAGCTTGAATAAATACACCAGGAAGCCTCTAGACAACAACAAATTCCTCAATAGTAAGCAAGAGATCTTGTGGGTGGCTAAATACCAGATAAATAGATAAAATCATCAAAGATGCAGCAAACTAAAAAGCAGTAGCCCAAGACAGGCAGAAGGGATAAGACTGGCTCCATGAAACAAAAGATGCACAAGTTCTGTAAAGCTCACAGAAAAAAAAAAGAACTATTGTTAATAAAATAACATTCCTTTGTCTGCATTCTCATAAAAGAGAGTAAATGGAAATGAGCACTCTTCTTGGTCCTATGTGAAGGTATTCTAAAATATTTTTAATGAATTGGGCATGAAAAAAACACCAACAAAAAATAAAGTACTAATAATTATTCACTATAATCATTAAGAAAGTTGTTAGTTAGTAGATGATAGATCACTATATTCTTTATAAATGGCAAACATAATAAAAACATTCATTTTGTGTGAACCAACCCAATAAAAAATTATATTTTGAAACTTAAAATAAGATTGTCATATTAGAAAATTACATACCTGATAAAAATAAAATACCATTCCTAAACTTTGATAAAAAAACATTTTATAATAAACATTATTTATATAATATTTTTCTAGAATATCTTGAAAAATCAACATCCCGGAAATGAGCACAATGTTATGAGGCTTATGGAGTAATGAGATTATCTCCACAGTTAGAACAAGAATAATTTCTGAAAATAAAATTGAGATTGTTAAGAAATTATAAAAAAGTATCATAATCATTTTAGTAAATTCAATGTTTTGAGGAAAAAGAAAAAAGGAATTAACTAATTTACCAAGTAACTGATATTCAAATCTAATCTTGTATTGTATCTATCTTGTATTGTATCTTGTATTGTATCTAATCTTGTAATTGTTTATACATCATTGGAGATATCTTTATACAGTTCAGTAACCACATAACATAAAAATTTAAGTAACTTAAACATGCATATTTTATTTTAAAATTTGTAGACATGAAAACCTACTGTAACAGTTCAAGGCACTTACCAATTATATTTAGCATGAACTTATTTTTGGAATCTTTACAATTGATTGATGTGATATATAGAACAATTTGAATGGATAAAATACTCCAAAATAGCTTAACCTCAGTAATTCCTCTGAAAAATAAAAATGATATTATTGAATAATGCCAACTGGTATAATGCATGATACATAAACAAGATAAAGCATTTCAAGAATAAATATAAATAAAATGCTTAGTAAATTCAGAAAATTAGATTTAATATTTTTTTAAATTTTACCTCTCGTGGTTTTCCAGAAAAAAAATTACTTTTGAATATTTGTAAATAACAATTATTATTAAATAACTCATACCCATATTCTGCATTTTGATTATATAATGTTTTGACTGTTAAATGTTTTAATTTTAGTTTTGAGTAAATCTTTAGAAAATGAAATTTTCTATGTGCTTAATAATAAGTAATAGAAATAGAAATAGAAAATAATTTTATTCTGGGACGAAGTCCCTTTAGAATAACAAAATGAGTAATAATATAGGGTGTGTGAATAAGTTCCTACCATTTTTTGATAAAAATAAAAACTTTATTTATAAAAAATTACATCACTAGCCACTACTTTCTCCTATCTTTCAGGTAACATACAGATTCTGTGCTGAAAAAAATTAATGTCTTTTGAGGCAATCCAATCATCGACCCATTTTTTAGTTTCTTTATAAGAATGGAAGCGCTGCTCAACCAGACCATTTGTCATTGATCAGAACAAGTGGTAGTCGGAAAGAGGAATCTCTTATATTTTCATCTTTCATCACCGTATCTTGTTAGAACATTTTATTTCAGCATTTCCAAATAAATTTGCAACATGAGGTCGAGCATATCATGCAGTAAAATTACATTATCGTGTCTCTGTTCGTATTGCAGTCGCTTTTCCTTCAAGCCTTGGCTCAAAACGCATTAATTATAGTCTATAGCGATCTGTTGTGATGGTTTCATTGGGCTGAATAAGTTGCCATAAGTTTCCACAAGAACTCTATGCCCTTCAGCTGCATTTTTTTTTTTTTTTTTGGAAAAATAGTGTAATAAAATTACCAACAAAAACGGATTTGAGGTTACGAAATTCACCATGTTTGAAGAGATATGAAAAACATATTCACTTTGAGGATTTAAAATAGACAGATAACCCAAGTAAAGAGGATTAGCTCTTGAATAAAGTTTTTTTCAGTGTTGCCCATCTGAAAATGCATCTCATATAGGTAAACAAAAATTCTCTAAATAATAAATGACAAAAACTTATTTACAAAACTGATATTAAATTTTTTTTTAAACCTAAGCAAATTCAATTCCTTTAGAAATTAACATAAAATTATAAACCCTCCCCTACGCTGACAGGCACAACAGGGTGATGCAAAAGAAGGAGAAGTGTGCATACCAATCAAGAAATACTATTAGCCCAATAGCCGTCATGGCAGCTTTCCAAAGGAATCTAGAAGGTCACTTTTCTGTCTTCCATTTATTGTAATGAAACTATATGTCCTAGCAATGAGAAAGTTGTATATGAAAACAAAGCTGGCAAAATTTCCAAATTGATTTGCTGTTTAGTATAGTATCTTTGATATCCAACCTCATAATTCACAAATTTAAAAAAATATAAAAAATATAAATATAAAAAAATATATGTATAAACTCTCAGATTTTGCAAAAAAGTTACCTTTTATATTTCTCATAGTTACACAGTTATAAATCTTTAAATAAGCCAATAAATAATATATTATATATACACTGACAGGCAAAAAATTAAACCCACTTGATTTTTTCATGTTTTCATCTAAAAATATTTCTACTTTGGAATGGTCTATTGTTTTTAATGAATAAATATTACCTATTTATTCATTAAAAACAATAGACCAGGAATTGTAGGAATATACATGTTTGTGAGCTGGGACTTCATGTTTAGAGAATGGATATAGGAACAAGGAATAATCCAATCAAGAAGATAATTAGCTTTTTTGGTTGTAAAGTTTGGAAAAGGAATAGATCGGAGTCAGGATGTTATAGGAGATTTTGATGAGATCATGATAGGGAAGGAAGGATACCGGATTCTGAGAGGAAGATAATAAGTTTTGAGAGGAATATAATATAAAATTAAATTAAAAAACATTACAATTTATTTAAGAGCTACTTATAAATATAATATATACTATATATGTATATATATACACTGACAGGCAAAAAATTCCACTCATTTGATTTTTTCATCTAAAAATATTTCTGCTTTGGATTGGTCTATTGTTTTTAATGAATAAATAGGTAATCTTTTTGTTTGTTTTCAATGAGGAATGTTAATATAGAGGACAATAACCCTTAATCCTTAATTCAATAAAATGATTCTAGATTCCAATGTTTCCAAGATTTCAAAACGAACCATTATTACTCTAAAAGAAATTAATTACATCATTGTTTAGTAGCGCGTGTTTCCTCCTCTTGCTTTCACTACTTCTTGAAGACGCCTCGGCATACTTTCCACCAGTCGGGAAATGTCCCTTTGCTGGAGGATAGCCCATTCCTCCCGAAGAGCCCTTTCAAGGTCCTGCAGTGTATCAGGAAGGTTGCACGGGCTCTTATTCATCTTCCGAGGTTATCCCATAAATGCTCAATGGGGTTCAAATCTCGAGAACGTGCTGGTCAGGCTAAAACCTCAATATTGTTCTGTTAAAGGAACGTCTGCACTATGCGGGCGACATGCGGGCGTGCATTAGAATAGAACGATCACCGATTTTGTTGAGGATAGGCAACACATGAGGTTCCAAAATCTCATCTACATAGCGAATGGCCGTCAAAGACATTCCACGAACAACAACCAATTCTGTGCGGCGCTCCATTGAAATCCCAGCCCACACCATTAAGGAACCATATTGGAAAGGTTGGTTCTGGGAAAAATTACAGGCTGCATATCTTTCTTTTCTTTTTCTCCACACCCTTTCATGCCCGTCTGGAGATCGAAGAGTGAATCTTGACTCATCTGTAAAAAGTACAGCACTCCATTCGTCCATAGTCCAATGGCTGTGTTCTCGAGCAAAAGCCAGCCGTGTTACTCTGTGAGTCCTGGTCAACTCTGGTCCTCTTACTGGACGAAAAGGCATTAATCCATACTCAATTAATCTTCTCCGAGCGGTACGTCCAGAAATTTGCACACCTCGAACTTCTTCGAGCTGATGAATCGCTTGAACAATGGTAAGGTGCCGGGTTCATAAAATTCTCAAAGTTAAAAACCGGTCATCCCGTGGTTCTGTTACCCTAGGCTGTCCAGAACCGGGCCTTCTATTGTAAGAACCAGGTTCCCGAAAATGCCTGACGGCGTCTCGTACAGTTTCATATGGAAATCCGATGGCATTAGCTGCATATCTAATGGAACGTCCATCATCAATAAGTGCCACCCCATGCGCAACATCCTCAGCACTAAGAGGCATTTTTAAACTTAATATTGAAAAAATTAAAAGCCGAAGACTAAGAAATGAGCAGCAAGAAATGGCACTGAACTAATGATACTGAATAAACATTTTGATTCCATAGAAAGTAAACATTGGAATCTAGAATCATTTTATTGAATTAAGGATTAAGGGTTATTGTCCTCTATATTAACATTCCTCATTGAAAACAAACAAAAAGATTACCTATTTATTCATTAAAAACAATAGACCAATCCAAAGCAGAAATATTTTTAGATGAAAAAATCAAATGAGTGGAATTTTTTGCCTGTCAGTGTATATATATACATATATAGTATATATTATATTTATAAGTAGCTCTTAAATAAATTGTAATGTTTTTTAATTTAATTTTATATTATATTCCTCTCAAAACTTATTATCTTCCTCTCAGAATCCGGTATCCTTCCTTCCCTATCATGATCTCATCAAAATCTCCTATAACATCCTGACTCCGATCTATTCCTTTTCCAAACTTTACAACCAAAAAAGCTAATTATCTTCTTGATTGGATTATTCCTTGTTCCTATATCCATTCTCTAAACATGAAGTCCCAGCTCACAAACATGTATATTCCTACAAATCAAGATTTGGAACATCATTCTGAATTATTCCAAATACATATCATTAAGAATGCCTGCAAATCTTTCACAAAAAAAAAGGTCGGTATCATAATGTTATAGTTATAATTACAGTTATACCATCTGAAATAGCCCCTTTGTATTTTGATGAAAATTTCCACTGTGTTTTTCAAAATTATTATTTAAAAGAGGTACAAGAAAGTAAATAACCGCCTATTTCAAAAGAAGAAACAATGGTGCATGCAGGAAGCCAATTACAAGTAATAAAGATAATTGAAAGGCTTGCTGAAAGGTTAGACAAAATAGATAATAAATCTATGAATATTTCCAATCTTCACAAAGAATTTGTTTTAGGACAATTAAAAGGTAATGAGAATGCCTCAGAATGATTAAATATTTTTGAAAAAGAATGCGATAGACACAAAATGATTAATGATGAAAATAAGATAGAAATATTGCGTCTATTTTTAGTAGATAATGCTTTAGACTGGTATAGCTCAACTTTATGCAAATTGACACTACAAGGTCATTGGAATGAATGGAAAGGATCGTTTTTAGAAACCAACAGCGATAAAAGTTGGGGTAGTGTACATTATGCTTACAATTTCAAACACATAAATGGATCTTTGTTAGATTACGCTCTAAAAAAAGAGGCGTTATTATTACAAACGGAACCTAACATGTTTGATAAGTCACGCATTAATCATATTGTTGTAGGCCTTCCATTTTACATTCAAGATTGACTTGATGAAGAAGAAATACATACAACAGAACAGTTGCTGAATCAACTTCAGTGGTACTCTCAAACGTATCCAAAGATAAAGAAAGATGAAAATAGAACAACCAATATAAATAAGAGTGATGCAAGTTCTTCTGAGAGAAAAACATTTATGGAAAAACAACCGTGTAAAATAGGTCAGTTAAAGGGTTACCAAGGACATTACCATCCACCTCAGCTTTGTAGAAATAAAGAATACTCTGAAGGAACAAATGTGAGTTTGAATGAGGTCAATGAAGTTAATATTCAAGAAGAGGAAAAAAACATAAGTATACATCACTAATTCGATTAAATATA